GGCTGGGAAAAATACACACTTTTATGTATAAATACACAGAAATATTGTTTACATTTATTCATACAGAACATGTGGTGTAAAGGTATTTAATGTTACCATCATTTCCTTTCAACTTTATCAGCACAGAATCCCACCCCTCACACACACGTGCACACGCACGTGCACACACACACATATCAGTATTTGTTCCTTCCAACATGTTCTCGGTGTTTTCAGAAGAGATAAGTCGTATCATCGGGAACCAGCCGCTTGGTCAGAGCAGCTCAGTGTGAGCAGACAGAAATTACTCCTGTATCCTGATGACATCATCATCGTCGTCATCTTCAAACGATCACCTCATTTCTACACTGAAACCTGTCTGAAACGTCTTCAGTTGATCCAAAATGCAAAGCTCTTAACAACCAAGCTCCATCATATATTAAACATCTTATTGTTCCATACTTTCCTAACAGAGCACTTCACTCTCAGACTGCAGGTTTACTTGTGGTTCCTGGAGTTTCTAAAAGTAGAATGGGAGGCAGAGCTTTCAGTTATCAAGCTCCTCTCTTGTGGAACCAACTTCCAGTTTCTGTCTGTGAGGCTGACACTCTGTCTACTTTTAAGATTAGACTGAAGACTTTCCTTTTTGATAAAGCCTGTCACCTATCCTATAAATCTAAAGCATCTGCACTTCTTAGAAGTCCATTCTTTGAAACCCAATTTAACACAAACCCACTTCTTATAGTCCAATTGCTCACATAACTGAACATATTTCTGTCTCGGTTTGTTACCAAATAACAGAACATGTTTCAGTTTGCTGTCCGATCAGTTACAGAACAGGTTATATCAGTTTGTGTCCTGTTAGTTTGCAGAACCTGTCTCAGTCTGCAGTCCATTATTAACTAACAAAACAAGTTTTAGTCTGCAGCTCGCTGCCGAATAAAAGAAAGTGTTTTATTGTGGTCTGTTGCCAAAAAGCAGGGAGTGTTTCAGACTCTGGTCCTCTGCCAAAAAATAGGAAATGTTTCAATCTGATTTGTTACCAAATACCTGAATATGTTTAACTTTGCTGTCTGTTGCCAAATACCAGAACTAATTTATTTTGTGGTGTGCTGGCATTTAGCAGGAAATGTTTTAGTTTGTGGACAGATAACAAATGAGAGGACGTGTTATATCACTCTGCTCTCTGTTATCAAAAAACAGAAGCTGTTCCAGTCTGCTGTCTGTCACCAAATAATAGTCTGCGATCAAATAGTCTGTTAACAAATAGAGTATGATTTTTTATGAAGTCAATAGAAACTTACCATTTTTACTACTGAAGCTGAATTCTTTTTTTGTTTTTTGCTGCTTTCTTCATGAGTGTTATACTAAATCCAAACCACGTCTCAAATTTCCTTTTGCTCAGAACACTGTGAGGTTTTTGTTGAATACACTCCTCACTATTGTAGTCCATGCTGGCAGGCTTGCGTCACATCATTTCTGCAAATAAAGCAGTGGCAGAATCCTGACTCTAATCTTTAGTTTTTCCAAAGCCCAGCTTGTTGACCTCAAGTCAGTTTGAGAAAAGGTTCACCATCGTGCTGAAAGGAGCTGCTACACGAGGATTAACAAATCACTGACATGATGTTAATGACTCGGTGATTTGAAGCAGCACACCATGTGCTAAAACCAACCAACCGTCGATCAGTGAACCAACTAACCTTTTGATTATTTATTTATCCAACCAACGGTCTATCAATCAGCAACAAACCACCATCCATCCATCCATCCATCCATCCATACATACATACATCAGTCACCCAACAAACAATTTGATTATTCATCTGTTCAACTAACCAGCCAACCAAACATCTATCAGTCAGCTAACTAACCATTTGATTATCCATCCATCCATACATCCATCCATCCATATTTCCATCCATACATCCATACAACCATCCATCCATCCATCCATCATTATCCATCCATCCATCAACCAACAAACCATTTGATTATCCATCCATCCATCCATCCATCCAACCATCCGTCCATCCATCCATCCATCATTATCCATCCACCTGTCAACCAACAAACCATTTGATTATTCATCTATTCAACCAACCAACCAACCAACCAACCAACCAACCAACCAACCAACCAACCAACCAACCAACCAAACGGCTATCAGTCATCCAACTAACCATTTGATTAGTCATCCATCCATCCATCCATCCATCCATCAACCAACAAACCATTTGATTATTCATCTGTTCAACTAACCAACCAACCAAACGTCTGTCAACCAACTAACCATTTGATTATCCATCCATCCATATATCCATCCATCCAACCAACCATCCATCAATCCATCCATCATTATCCAATCATCCATCAACCAACAAACCATTTGATAATTCATCTGTTCAACTGACCAACCAACCAGCCAACCGACCAACCAACTAAATGTCTCTCAGTCAACCAACTGACATTTGATTATCCATCCATCCATCCATCCATCCATCCGTCAACCAACAAACCATTTGATTATCCATCCATCCATCCATCCATCCATCCAACCATCCGTCCATCCATCCATCCATCATTATCCATCCACCCGTCAACCAACAAACCATATGATTATTCATCTGTTCAACTAACCAACCAACTAACCACCCAACCAACCAACCAACCAACTAAATGGCTATCAGTCAGCCAACTAACCATTTGATTATTCATCCATCCATCCATTCATCCATCCATCCATCCATCCATCCGTCAACCAACAAACCATTTGATTATTCATCTGTTCAACTAACCAACCAACCAAACGTCTGTCAACCAACTAATCATTTGATTATCCATCAATCCATCAACCAACTAACCATTTGATTATTCATCTGTTCAACTAACCAACCAACCAACTAAATGTCTATCAGTCAACCAATTAACCATTTGATTATCCATCCATCAACCATCCATCCATCCATCCGTCAACCAACAAACCATTATTTTCATTCAACTGTTCAACTAACCAACAGAACAAACAAACATCTGTCAACCAACTAACCATTTGATTATACATCCATCCATCCATCCATCCATTCATCCATCCATCTGTCAACCTACAAACCATTTGATTATTCATCTGTTCAACTAACCAAACAAACAAACATCTGTCAATCAACAAATCATTTATTTATCCATCCAACCAACCAACCAACCAACCAACTGACTAATCAATGAATTATTAAATCAAGCAACTAAGCCATCATTCAACCAACTAACCACTCAACAATCTATGCACATATTCATTTATTTTCTGGGGAGCTATCATGTGTCAGAGGAAAAACCACACATCCACCAAACCAAATACCCTCCAGCTCCTCCAGGGGGCTTCTAAGATGTCCCTGGACCAGAGAGGATCAAAAGAACCTGATTTTAGAGTACAATCAAAACAAGACTTGACCAAAGTACAATTCTGAAATTCACAGCTATAAAAACATTAAAATCAAAATAAAACAAAATAATGAATAAAACCACAAAATAAAAAATCAGGTAAAAAAAATTAAAACTAAATAATGTAAGTAACAGGTTACTTTAAAAGCCCAAAGCAATACTACATAAAAACAGACAAAGAAAATAGTTTTGTCTTAAGCTGCTTATTTTGAATCTCCACAGAGAAGAGGCCTGCCTGCTTCATTTCTGAACATGCACATGTGTGGGTCTTCTACACTGAATCATACAGACTAAACAGAGCCACAGAGATAGTTTAGCTGCAGTGGAAGAGTTTTCACCCCTCTGCACACTGGAGGTTGAGGGTGGCTATGGAAACCAGTGGTTCAGAGTCTTATCAGGTTGAGCTGCTGGTTGAAGACTCCAACTCAGCAGCGCTGCGAGGCAATGGAGGACAGAATGGGTCCAGTTTCTGAGTGTTAAACTCATGTTAGCAGCATCATCGCTAACATGGGCTAATGTTCAAATAGTAACTAATTTTTATACTGTGCTACCTGTTCTAACTCCTAACTCTCTGCAGGGGGCGTGTCTAAGTGGGAGGCTTTTATATACCCAAACAGAGCTGTGACATCAGCATGCACCAAGCCTGGATAACTGATCAACCAATAAGAAAATTCAACTGCAGTAATACTGTTCAACCCATAGAGGGCATTAAGACTGTTTCAGACCAAATAGTGCAGCATTAAACAAATTTACAATTAAATGTAAAAATTTCCAAAAAAATATAAATATATAACCCTTAAGGCCCAGTTTATTTGCAAAAATATATACAGTATATATACAGAGATACATTTTGGGTTTAGTTACTCTAAACTTTCAGAACTTATGCCTTTCTGGATGAAGGAGTCTGAGGACCTTCATCCAGGAACCCATGTGACATTCAGCATGAGATAAATACTGGACTGACTTCCTGTGGGAAAACTGTGAACTCTGCTGTTACTTTTTTCCTTCTCAAACAAAACAGGACCCATCATTCAAGGACAGAAACATTCTGTTGACATGATGGAAACTATAAAATCCATTATGAGCATTTATTATCAAATATCCCTGTTTTACACAACATTAATGCCAGATCGTTGCATAGAGTTTTGCTTTGATTGTTTTAAACATTTAAAAACGCGCAGTTTGTGAATAAATGCTTTAGTTTCTGCGGCAGCCTGAGGTACAAGGACACTTCTTCATTTGACATAGACACTATCAGATATGAGCGGAGTAAACAGGGCCGAATTCAAGAGTCAAGTCATTATGTTTTAAAAACAACATGAGCTAAAGAAACGTAGACCCGCGTCCCTCACACATAGACCACAAACACTAAACCGCGGATTTTCTGAACGGAGTTTGGTGCGGGAATGTTCGTCTTACATAAAAAACGATACATTTCTGGTTCGAGTCCAAACCTTATTCTGCATCATCACTATCTCAGGTACAACACCCAGTCCACCAACAAACAGCCGTCTGCCCTCACCTCCCGAAAACAGAGAAGGTTAAACAACCTTTACACCGGAACCGAGATATTATCCGGTACATACCTGCAATCAGACAGGGATACAGTGGTCCGGTCTGAACCCGGTGCTGCCCCATGGCTGCAGCCTCTCCTCTGTCAGATGCTGCGGCTGTGTGTGTCTGCGAGGAGGCTGTGTGTGTCTGCAAGAAGGCCGTGTGTGTCTGCGAGAAGGCTGTGTGTGTCTGCAAGAAGGCTGTGTGTGTCTGCAAGAAGGCTGTGTGTGTCTGTGAGGACAGCAGGACAGGAAGCTGATGGACATCCGGACAGAGATTTCATTTGTGGCTCTCCAGCACAGAGTGGACCGGGCTGTAGAGGCTCGAACATGCTGCTGTGGGCCATTTCAGACAAACTAGTTACCCTGGTAACTACCCATCATCAGGACCAGGTCCATCAGCATGTTACATGATGTTATTAACCAGTTAACTAACCCATCATCAGGACCAGGTCAATCAGTATGTTATATGATGTTATTAACCAGTTAACTAACCCATCATCATGACCAGGTAAATCAGTATGTTACATGATGTCATTAACCAGTTAACAAACCCATCATCAGGACCAGGTCAATCAGTATGTTACATGATGTCATTAACCAGTTAACAAACCCATCATCAGGACCAGGTCCATCAGCATGTTACATGATGTCATTAACCAGTTAACTATCCCAGCATCAAGACCAGGTCCATCAGTATGTTACATGATGTTATTAACCAGTTAACTAACCCATCATCATTTGTCATTATGTCATTGAAACTCATTGTGGCCAGAGGAGCTTCCAGTATGACCTTTATGAAATGTATGACTGTTATAAAAAGAACATAATAAAGTATAATATTGATTCAATAATAATATATAACAAACTAACAAAATGAGATGTTAACATTTCCCTATTAGTACTGCAGTAGTTTTTGTGTTTTTCACAGTATTTTGAAATAAATAGCATATACTTCATTAAACTAATTCAGCAGCACAACTCTCTCTCTCTCTCTCTCTCTCTCTCTCTCTCTCTCTCTCTCT